GTCTGGCATGAGATAAATCTTTGAAAACTGTTCTTCCCAGACAACAAGCCTCTTAAATAGTTGCTTTGAAAATTCATGCCATTAATCGTTCCTGCCATGATAAAGAAAACTTGTCTCTATTTTTAAATCATGAGATGAATTGGTCTTAAAGGATGAAATTTTACCAAACAAACAACATAGCTAAAATTCTGCCTGGGTTTCTAAACAATCAAGGTGAGGAGGGTAAAAATTGAGTGGTGAAAACCTAAATGTGACAGGCAGCTAGACTTCTAAAGGTCTCAGGAGTTGGGCTGATACCTACATTGAAAAAAAAAAAAAAATGGGGCAATAAAGAGGTTTCTTCTGTTTGTTTTTGGTTTATGAGCTCACAACAGCTACATTTTTCTTTCACATACTAGGAGGAGTCTTGGTTCAAAGAGATAGAAAATTTAATTCAAATGAAGTAAAAACAAGCAAAAGCAGAAGCTCGTGTGTCTGAGCAGGGCTGCAGGACTTGGGGTCAGGGAGTCCAGGGTTGGGGCTGGCCATCTGGAGATATCTGAACCTGCTTTTATGTTTTATTGCTGGCCGTCTAGGTCCTCCAAATAGATGAAGTGCTGGCCTCCGTACTAAAGAATGTGATCTCGTTGGAAAATAAAACTCTAATGAGTGATCACATGAAGATGACTTACCCGCTTTTTCAACCTTTTTTAACAAAGAACACCAGAGACTAAGTGGGCGACAGAGCTGAAATGTATTTCCCCGTGCTTCTGGAGGTGATGAGCCCAGGGCGAAGGTGTAATCAGGGTTGATTTTTCCTTGGTTTGTTGTTGGTTGTCTTTTCCCTTTGTCTTCCCATTGGCTATCCTGTGGATGTGTCTCTGTCCTAACCTCTTCTTAAAAGGATACCAGACTTACCGCATGAGGGCCCACCCACAGAACCTTATTTGACCCTAATTATCATTTCAAAGGTAAATAAGCATACACTCGCAGGCACTGGTGGCTAGGTTCATAATGACACTGTGCATCTCGCAACAGATGAAGTCATTTGGATGACTCTGAAAGTTGGCTTCCTAACAGAAAGTTCAGAAAGACAGACATGCCCAGGGGGAAGATGATGTGAAGGCACAGAGGGAATGCTGTCTGCAGCTGTGGGATACATGGGGCTCCTGACCCGTTGGAGAGAGACCCACCACTCGGTGGCGAGCATGGCCCTTGGCTCCTCTTTCTTCTCTCTCTGCTTAGCCAGCAGCCTTCTCTGCCTTCAAAATAGGTCTAGGATCCAAAAACTTCTCAGTACTTTGCCTGGTACCCCAGTGATCCCAGCCTTTTGTCTGGATCCCTGTCTTTTGTCTGGACTCCAGCAGTAGCTTCCAGGGTTGCCTCCCCTTTGCCTTTGCATGGTCCTACTCTCCACATAGTATGTTGCCAGGCTGATTAAAGCATGAAAGTCAGGTCACTGGGACACTTAAAACCACATCCCAGAGTGTGATACCCAGTATTTTGAATTAAAAACACTAGAAGACCTTAGAAGCTGTCTCCTAACAAAATATTTAATTTCTCTTATTCCCCACCACCAAGCACAGACAAGGGTTCCTTTATGGAATTCACTGACACGATTGAAGACAAAAGTCATGCAATGGCTTTATTCCCATCCCCAGGAATCTCATTCAATAGCCCTGGTCCAGGAATGCCCATGCCCAAGTCTATAATCCAGCTCTGAAGTTTCAAGTTGCTAGAAGAGAATTTGGAGATCATTTGGGCTCACTCAGTCACGTTGCTGGTGGAGAAACTGAGGTAGGTACAGGGGTAGGACAGAATGTGTGTCTTTTTTTTTTTTTAAGATTTGTTTATTTTTATTGGAAAGTCAGATTTACATAGAGAAGGAGAGACAGAGAGAAAGATCTTTTCCATCCACTGATTCACTCCCCAAGTGGCCACAATGGCCAGAGCTGTGCTGATCTAAAACCAGGAGCCAGGAGCTTCTTCTGGGTCTCCTATGTGGGTACAGGTTTTCAAGTTTTGGGTCATCCTCTATTGCTTTTCCAGGCCACAAGCTGGGAGCTGAGTGGGAAGTGGAGCAGCTAGGACATGAACCAGTGGCCATATGGGATCGTGGCGCATACAAGGCAAGGATTTTGCCACTGAGACATCACGCCAGGCCCAGGTCATAGTGTCTTTAAGGTTCATTTGTGAATATATTCAGTACACATGATGTACCAGGTTTTATACAAGGCACTGGGTAGAATAAAGAAGACAGACAAGTATGGAGAGGAGAGCAGCAGAAGGGTTAGGACTGAAGCTCTGCTACCATTTAAGCCTTGCAATACTTAGTTATAAGGGCCAACCAGAAATGTACAGGATATCCACTATGTTCAGAATATTGTGCTTCACTTTGGAGATATAGACAATAAAGAGTATCTTTTATTTAAAGGATTCGTTTATTTTTATTAGAAAGGCAGATCAGATTTACAGATAGAAGAAGAGACAAAAACATCTTCCCTCCATGGGTTTACTCCCTAAAAAGCTGCGATGGCTGGAGCTGAGCTGATCTGAAGCCAGGAACGTCTTCCAGGTATCCCATAAGGGTACAGGGTCCCAAGGCTCTGGGCTGTCCTCTACTGCTTTCCCAGGCCATTAAGCAGAGCATTGGAAGGTAGTGGAACAGCTAGATATGAACTGGTGCCTATAGGGGGTCCTTGTACTTATAATATAAGGATTTAGTCATTGAGCATTGTGCTGGGCCCAATATCTGGTATTCTTAAAAACAAACAAATAAGCAAAAACTTTCAGTGAGATATTTGATATCTACTCAATCAAGGCTCTGGGCATTTAAGTTTGGCAACAAATGCCTAAATTCAAGTCTTTGACCAGCTACATCACCCAATTTCAAAGCAAAGTATGTTTCTTATATAATTCCTTTTTGCTCCTTTGGGGAATATACACACCAAGTCAGGTGATAATTTCGCAAACTGGCTGTGATTCTCAGGCACAGGATTGCACGCCTCGTGTTAAGTCTGGAGTATGTTTCTACCTTTAGGGTAACCTGATGTCCTTGGAGCTAGCAGGTGGCATTTGTTCTTACCCAAGTCACTCAGCCAGCCAACTGCAAGGACCTCCAACAGGTGCCAGGTCCCTTCACCTTTTAGGACACATCTTTGGCTTTTTGTGATCACTGAGTCAGAAGCTGGGGACAGTCTGCCCAAGGAAACAGCCTGAAGAAACTTGGTGTTGAGAGTGGGCTTGGCACACGTGCCTGGGTCTTTCCCAGCAGGAGGCCTGTGGTTCACACTTGATCTCTAGCTCCTTCAGAAAGAAAAGTGACAGGTGCCCAAGTGCTTGGGCCAACTTCTGCTGCTGTCTCAGAACATTAGCGGTGAGCTTGATCAGAAGTGGTGCAGCCAGGACTCAAATGACACCTCTGTGGAATGCTGGCCTATCCCACAACACCAGCCCTCGGATTTGTTGTTTTTAATGTGGAAGAAATCATTCTGTGGTTGCGCTGAGTGGACTGTTCAGCAGAGGCATGTACTCACTGATGATGTAGGAAAGAAGAGGGCTGCGGAACAGAGATGTCCTTCAACAAGAAGACAGGAGGTTTCCATAACATGCTAGAGCAGGGGTTATTAAATATTAAATTACATAGTTTACATTTGGCTATCTTATTTTAAAAAGGTAGTAGAATTCAAAACCCCATCCTGGTCAAATTATATCACCCCATTTCCCTATTACCTTATTCTCATGGTTCTGTATTGCCTCTCCCGCATGGGTGGTAGAAATAGAATATACTGGTGTTCAGAAGCAGGGCTTCTGTTCCCTGCTCTGCCCACAGTGACACGGTGTTGGTAACTCTAGCTCTGGAAGGTGTCTTTACACATAAACTAGGGTTCTCTTGAGACAGAGTGTATATGAGGAGGGATTTATAAGGGGGTTGGGATGGTGGGTGCTGAGAGGATCCCACAACAGGTGGTCTGCATGCAGGCTGAGAGGCCAGCAGCATGATTCCACCCACGTCCAGGGGCCTCCGGGCCAAGCCGGCCAAGGATGTGATCCTCTGCTGGAGGCCGACAACCCCAGTGCTAGCAAGGGCGCTTCCACGCGGTCCTGCTCTGCAAAGACCAGTTACTGACATCCGAGGCAGTGCATCCCAGCCGGGGCCCCAGAATCATCTTCCTGGGCTTAGAATCCCTAAGACATCAGGGTTTTCTTTTCTTTTTTCTTTTTTTAAATCCAAGGGGAGCTGTTAATTTGAGAGCCTGTTAGGAGTGACTGGTCCCAAACTAGGTGCCCACAGTCCATCCACAGCACAGGATGAAGGCAGGGGATTCGGGCGCGCTGTGTAGAGCCCTACAGATTATCCTGCTCATTTTAATAGCAGTGCATCAAAGTAAAGAACACCCACTTCTTCCCTTTTGTTTTTTGCTCCTCTGAGTTTAAACTTTGGTGAGCGAAGGATTTTCCCCTCAGTGTTGTTAAACCCTCACGCCTCCGAGGTTGCTGGTCGTCGCCACCCAGGCCTCAGCAGCTCAGAGGAGGGTTCTGTGTTCTCAGTCCTAAACCTTAAGAGTGAGGTGTGTACGTATTTATTACGTAATTCGATACATATTTTCCAGTGCTGCTCAGGGTCGCATGGGACTTACTATGTGATTCCAGAAACTCCCAAGCCCGGGGCCGCAAGGCTGTAGTGCGGCGTCCCTCAGAGAGGACAGCTTCCACGTGCAGGCGTGCCTCCCGTGGAAAGGTCGCCCGGGCAGGCGGCGTGGGCCTGTGGACCCTCTCTCCCCGCCCCCGGGCCGGCCACTCACACCTGCCTGAGCTTGGCCCAAAGGGGCGTGGGCGTGACCGACTGTGCGTTTCAATAAAGTTGCGAAAGTTTGAAAAAGAGAGGAAAAAGTCCACGCCCCTCGGGCCGCCGGGGCGTGGAGGCCCGCGGGGACCCGGCGCAGCCGGCGGCGCGCTGAGCTGGGCGAGGTGTGGCTGGCGGGCCGGCGGGCAGGAGGCCGGGGTCCGGGGTCCGGGGCGCACGGCCATGGGGGTCACGGTGGACGTGCGCCAGGTGTACAAGTACCCCTTCGAGCAAGTGGTCGCCAGCTTCCTCCGAAAGGTACGGTCCCCCGCCTCGGGCCTGCCCGGGCGTGCGTCCTCCCGCGCCGCCGGGCCTGCCGTTTCCTTGCGGTCCCCCAAGTCCGCCGCGGCGGCCGGCTCTGCTTCACGGGTGCGCGGGGCCAGGGTGGAGGTGGACTCCCCTTCCAGGACGCGGGTGGAGGCGCCGTGCGCGTAGTCACGTTCGCGCCTGTCCCGGCTGGAGGGAAGCGACATTTTTTTTTTGCCTCTGGGAACTCGAGGCTGGGAGTCTCGTCAGGGGCCGCTTGAGCACTGACTTGGGGGATTCCCTGAGGGGTTTCGGTCGCCTCAGAATTGTTCCCCCACTTACACAGCTGGAGGACTTTGGGCGGATTTCTCACCCTCTCTGTGCCTTAGTTTTGTAACCTGTGAAATGGGTCAAACAACAGTATCCACTTGGTTGTTGCTAGGATTCGAGGGGGAGCTTTCCCTCAAGCGCCCGGCATGGTGCCCATAAGCGCTCTCAAGTGTTGCTGCCGTGTGGCTCCCCAACATTACGGTTCAGGGGCCTTTTCCCTCCTCATGCCTCGTCCTAGGACCGTGGCTTCTGGTAATGGGGAAATGAGAAGTTTCCCTGAAGAATCCACAGCGTGGAGGAGGTTTGGAAGGTAGGACCCCAAAGTCTATCCGGAGCTGTAGCGAGTTTTTCAGGTGACCATGGCCGACGGTCTTTCTCTGGGGGTTAGCTTCTGTGTCCGTTTCATGTCATGAGGGCATTTCATCAGATTTTTAAACTTCATTTTCAGCTTGTTTCTTAGGCGTCACACGCAGAGGTAGCAGTTTGTCTCCGGAACATCTACAGGATGAGCTCCTTCCCTGTGCATTCCGAGAGCCAAGCTAAGGGAGACGTTGGGCAAAAGTAGGTAGTTAAAGATGTAGTGTCCACCTTAGGAACCTGAGAGACAGGGGGACAGGGACAGGAGGAGAAAGTGAAGAGTGCTCCCCTCTTCTGGTTCCCCCCAAAAGCTGGCAGGGGCTGGTTGGGAGAGCGGGGGCTGGAGCCTGGGAAGTGAGCCCGGTCTTTGATGTGGGCGACACAGCTCAATTACTTGTATCCTTCACCAGAGTCAGGGACAGAGCTGAGTTTTGAAGCCAGGAACTCTTAAATTGTGGGTGTCTTTAACCAGTGGGCCAAGTGCTTGCTCCAGCAGGTTTTTTTTCTGAAATAATAAGGTTTGGCCTCCGATAGAGGAGTGGGGCACTGCTGGGGGCTCCAGGTCACAGCAAAGTGGTCAGGGCCCTGGTTGTCGTGGTATCCCCAGTGTACACTGTCCATGTATCCCCAGTGTCTGTGGTAGTTCCTGGCACCTGCTGGGCACTCAGGCCAAGGGTGATGAATGAAAGAGGGAACTCTCTGGATCTGTTGTGGACTTGGTCTTAGGCCAGGCATCTGAGTCCGAAAGGGGGAAGAGCCAGCGTCCCATTTTTTATTAGAACCGGCACTTTGGACCGTGGCTTGGTTAATGACAGCCACTGTTTTCTCTCTGGAAAGCCTTTTGGATTGTCAACATGTGGAGATGTTCTCCACCTTCTCAGAACTCGCTGGGCACTTGGTCAGGGCCTTGGTGACCATGTGTAGTGCCGGATAGCTACTTTTTGTATGTGTTTCGCAAATAGCACAGTGCTATGTTTTTTTTTTTTTTTAAGATTTATTTATTTTTATTGGAGAGGCCGATTTACAGAAAGAAGGAGGCAGAGAAAAAGATCTTCCATGTGCTGGTTTACTCTCCAAGTGGCTGAAATGGCCAGTGCTAATGTGATCCAAAGCCGATCCGAAGCCAGGAGCCTCTTCTAGGTCTCTCACATGAGTGCAAGGTCCCAAGACTTCGGGCCGTCCTCCACTGCTTTCTCAGACCACAAGCAGGGAGCTGGATGGGAAGTGGAGCAGCCAGGATACAAACCAGCACCCATATGGGATCCTGGCGCATGCAAGGCAAGGATTTAGTCAAAAGGCTACTGTGCTGGGCCCAGCCATACTCTTAATTTTATAGCACTCAGCACACCCCAGCTTCTGGAAAGTGCTTTCCTTGTATGTACTCTGTTTTGGAGCCTTAATGTCTGTTTCCCAGGCTCTGTAGCAGGTGCTGACAAAACACAAGGGAACTCAGTAGCCAGACCCCTTGATGTGTAGCTGATGTTCTCTCGCTGGTAAGACTGACATTGATAAATGATGAACAAATAGACACATGCTTCCCACTGATAAGGTGAACTGACACAGGGAAGCCGCATGGTGCTGTGGCTCAGTCTAGCCCGGAAGCCTGCTGTCTTCCCAACGGGTTGCGTTTGTGAATTGATGGCTGCAGCATGCAAAGGAGTTTTTCCGGCAAGTCAGGATGTGTTTGTGTTTTTCACTCCCCATCCTGTTTACTCTTCCTGGCAGCCTCAGGAACAGATAGGATTTGTTTCCATTTCACAGTCTGGAGAAACCAAGGTTCAGAAAACGTGAAGCAGCCTGTCCGGTCCCCACAGCTGGCAAAGAGGAGAGCTGGGGTTGGAACACGTCCAGAGTGCACCTCTCCGGCCCTGGGCAGTGCGGCCTTGCACGGTCTGGGCGCTTAGGCCATCGCTGGGGCAGTGGAATGTTTTGGAACCAGTTTGGTTGTGCTCTTTTTCCAGCCAGTTTCCTTTTGTTCAGTCTTCCCAGAGTTTGTCTATCCGGGTGTACCAGCCGGGCCTGACCTAAAGGCATAGCTTTGTGTGTGTTGTATGAAGATACAGCGTTTCAGTTATCTATCAGTGTGTAACGAAACACCCTAAAACTTAGTGGTGGAAGCCATCAGCTGCCTCCTGACCCTGGGTTGACTGAGCTTGTCTGCTTGGTTTGTGTGTGTCCTGTAGCTGAGGCCACAGGCACAACCACTTTCAGTTAGCATCTGGTGCAGACACCTGACTGGCCCCTGGGTACCTGGTGAGGCCTGCGGGAGGCAGAGCTGGACAAAGAGGCAAGCAGAGGGACTGTGTCAACATCCTGGATGGTGCTGCATTTTCATTCTTTTTAATCATTTGCAACGCGGTGCTGTAGAGACTCCCTGGTAGGACACGTCTGTATAGGCTGTGGTGTGTGTATATGAGAGAGAGGCAGAGACAGAGACAGAGACAGAGAGAAATTGATCTTTTGTCTGCTGGCTTGCTTGCTCCCTAAATGGTTTAGTGGCCAGGCTGGGTCAGGTTCAAATAATGATCCAGGTTCAAGTAATGAGGTTCTTCCTCTGAGTCTCCCCACTTGGTGCAGGGCCTAAAGCGCCTCTAAGGTACCTGAGCAGGAGCTGAGCAGGAACATGGAGCAGACGCCACGTGAACCAGTGTCCATGGGATCCAGCATTGCAGGCGCTGGCTTAACCTACTGTGCCATCCCACCAACCCTACAGTGTGATTATTCATAAGATGTGAATAAATCCATTTCTTGTGAGAATTTACCTTATGTTATTTAATTCCCGTACTAAGGTCACTAGACCTGAATTCTAATCTTGTTTCACTGCTGGCTGGGTGCCCATGGAAAACATTTTTTCTCCAGTGTTTCTGGCGCCCTTGTGCTAATCAGTGAACCAACCTGTGCTGTGCCCTTGTACAACCTAGGGAAGGTATCCTGTATGAGCTCATAGTACCTGAGGCTAGTGGAAAGCGAGCAGAGCTATTTATGCGTGTTAGAAAATGTGCTACGTTCTCCAAAGTGATGTGGCCTTGACTGGGAGAGCTTGCAGAGTTGGCAGCAAGCCTGACTGCATAGCACAGCACCAGTTTCATCTATGAAATGGTAATGGCAGCCACTCCACTTGCCTGCTCCAGTTGTTGTGAAGATCAAAAGTCTAACAGTTTGGTAAATACAAGCTTTTTCTGTATAAGACTTCGGGAGTAAGAATCATCTTTTGGGCAAAGTATACTTTTGTTTTTCCTTTTGTCTTTGTGTGTTCTTTTAACCCAAAGGAAGGCACTTGGCAGAGGAGACAACGATGTGAGGATCTCTGGGAAGCATTTGATCGCCGTGCGCAGTGGGATGTTTGAAGTCGCTTTAGCGCGGAGGAAGTTCTGTTTTAAATAGAATCTACTGATCTCCGTTTTTCGGTGTTTTAGGACTTGCCTTCCAAGTTTTAATACATTACTATTTTTAAAACCCGAAGAATGTTTGCTCTTCTTACACCTGTCTGTTGGATTCCACAGGCTAAATATTAGCCGTGTGCTTTCATAGTGAAGCAGCACCTTGAAAACAAACAGCACGGTCCTCTCTGTTGGTGGAATGTGGTTTCTCAGTGAGCTCTTTATGGGTGAATGCTGTGGAATCCAGAAAGGCTTATCCGTTAGGTGCTAAGCTGTACCTCCCAGGAACTGCAGTGGTGATGACCTTGACCGGGTGTTTTGGCTTCTTTGCCTGATTCTTAGCTCTCTAGAGTTGTTTCCTTGTACTTAAAAGGATTTACTAAGAGAACATGAAGTTGCGTAAGTGTAGCAGTATGGAAGGGAAGGTGCTCTGGAAGTCCACCCAAGGTGCTTTCTGATGGGCTGGCCTTCCCTGGGGTTTAAGGTCATCAGCAAGGAAGAACCCAGAGCATCCTTGTGTTGGTTGAGGAGGCTCAGGCTTGAGCTGTTTCGGATGACTTTATGTTATGGGCGGTGGAGTCATCGCGACTAGAGCATAAGCCATTTTAATAGGCAGCGATTTTTGTCCTTTGTTTCCGATTCTGGAATGTTCCGTGACTGAATGGTCATTACACCTTCCTGGAATTTAGCCCCTGTTATTTCAGTATATGGCTCAGAAGCATCCCTACTCTGGATGCTGTAATAAAACAGATTAGAATAATTTCCTTGCTTTGCTACATAATCTCAGGTGTTATTTATTCTAGCCATGAGCCTGAGATGCTGGGAGATGGTTTGAGTGTTTACCTCGACGCTCGTCCAGGGGATTTATGAATGGCTATTTCCATTTAGAGTAGAAAGTTGATTGGGTAATTAATAATGTTTCTGTTTCTGATCCTCTCTTTTCTC